GAGGTTTGTAAAAATTCATTGCAAATACAAAAGGGATTTTTGTTTGTTTTTAAAGCCTAATCAATGTGTTGGTGTTCCTGGCTCAGGATAGATGCATCATGACTGCAATGGATCAGCTCCAAGAATCACAGTATTAGCTCTGCAGCAGTGGCTCTAGATGGTATCTCTGCAGGGAAATCCTTGTCAGCACTGACTTACCTCTCCTATAAATGGCTGTCCGCACTCCTACACGGGCTTCTAAAACCTTGGTGCTGAAGTTTGTGGAAAGCAAAAGCTCCCTAGCCCATACTATGCTCATGATCATACCAGTATAAAATTGGATGGTTCATTCAGGGTGAAAAGCACTTACATAAAAATATTAACAGGTGAACCTAAGGGCTGCCTGACATCACCCTCTTACCAGAAGCACCTAAGCACTGGAGTTTCACCTTAGTGCATTACAGCAGATCCCAGGTCAGTCTCCCAGGGCACTTGGAACAAACATTCAGTGTTTAGAATATAAAGAGTCTCTACTGCAGACTGTAAGCTTACAGCAACATCAAGAGTMTTGAAAAATAGAATATCTGTTCATCTCTCAGACAACAATCCTAACAGAAAGCTGAAAAGATATAATTGAGGGAAACAAATCACAGACATGRTATCTACCAAAATAAATGCTACTGATACATGAGAAATTAAACACCCCTTATACACGCCAACACTAAATAGGCCAGAGTATCACACAGGAATCTCTACTGGAAGCAGCAGGAAAAAATCTCCCACAAAAACACTGCAATTCAATTTTTCATATCCCACTTAGYTTTTCAAGATAAATTTACTAAAATAGTTCTGAACAAACAGAATGTCCAGAGAAAATGTTCTGTACTTGCCTGAATCATGCCAAGTTCTTGATATCCACAAAACATTTTATGAAATGTTGAGTAACTTATTTCCTCTTCAGTAATTTTTTTTTCTTTCTTTCATATCAATTTACTTCTATCTCTAGTACAATACAGCAAAAAGAACGACCATCTAATCTCAGCTCCTGTTTATCCATATATTTCTTGCATTAGTGGTGCAAAATTAGACACAGTATCCTAGGTAGGGTCTAATAAGCTGCAAGGGGCTCTTCCTTCCCAAGTGCAGCTGCCACGTTTGTCCTGATGCTCCTKTCTGCCCGTTCACCACGTATTTTAGAAACCATAAAACACAGAGTTAAAGAATTTCATTTACTATTATGTGACTATAGGTTCCAATATACTAGTTCGCATTTCTACCACCAAGATATGAATATGCTCTATTCAATTAATATCCACTTTAATTTAAAAGAAAACAAAGGTATAAGCAACCATTAACACAGCAGCTGGTGCCTACACTTTTTTGCAGTTATTAAAAATGACCAGTTCTTTGGAGTGCTTTTGATCTAATACTTTATTTTTCAAAGTTTCTCAGAGTCTTTGGTAAACTGTGGCAATGAATTCCCTATAAAAGGTACTTATAATAGCAACACAACAATCCAAGGCACTTARTAATTCCAGATTTCGAAAGCCTGGGTATCTGTCAGAAGCTTCAGGTTTCTACTAAAAGCTTATACAACATCTGTCCAAAGCATTTCTGCCTGGAAGAAGTCACATACAAAATCTCAAGGGTTTTCCACTTGCCTCTTTTTAAAAATGAAAACAAAACCCCMMAAAAATTTAAGATTATTTTGGTTAYGCAATTTTAAGGTGTTTCTCCCCATATGCAGTGATATGAGCTGAACAAACATATTTCAATTTTCTGAACTATAACCCACTTTCTCTTTTGCTTTGATTCACACTTTTTGGAACACTCCCTGCTCAGCATAACATCTACTTCCTACATATCTAGTGAGTCACTTTTTCAGGCACCTCTTAAAAAGCCCTCTAAAACCAGATTCATTAACTTGTAATTACTAGAAAAATAAAATAAAAATTATTTCTAAGCACAATATTGTAATGTTATCACTGCATGAAAAATCCACTAATTAACTGGGARTTATTACACTGTATCTACAAACATGGGGAAAAAGAGGTATTGCACTGGTTGTCTATAAAAGTATTACTAATCAYAGACAAAGTTCAAGCACAGATAATCCCACCACCATCTCCTTCCACCTTTATCTTACACATATTTAGGCTTACATATTATGTTACACAYATTTTAGAAAGCAAATCCAACTTTAAGTACCTGCTTTTAATTGCTATGTATTGGTGATCTTGAAAACTCAWCCTACTTACATCCTCAGTAATGCTGGTATTACACAGACATTATTTCCTTGGGCAAATAACTTTTTCCATGCATAATTAAAGTGCTTTTATACAAAGTAAACATTCACATCTTTCAACTCTAAGTAACGTGTTATCTTCAACTTGGTCTACTTATGTGACATATTTCATCTTATGCCTGCCTCTGCCTAAGGAAAAAATTCTGTACTACTTCCCTTGGCATTACTTACTGATGTTCCCTCTCTTCAGGTTCCACCCCTATTTACAGATGATACCGATAAAATTGTTTACAGACTATGTAGTAAACAGAATCACTCACATGATTCACTACACAAAATTCCAAGCCCTCAGGAAAAAAAAGAAGAGTATTTGAGTATAATTGAAAGGCAGCTCAAGAGGCAGCACAGAGACTAGACTGAGTGACTAGCAATGCCAGAAACTGGTATTGCCAAAGTCCACAACTTATGAAACTGCAGTCCCAGATCATTCATGAATCATTCTGAAATATCTGAAGATTTTTCCCATTACCAAATTAACATTTGAAGGTCTTCTATCTGTTGAAAAAACCCAGAACTGARAAATATCCTATACATAAGCTTCTAAGAAAGCTTTACAAATACTGTGACAAASAGAATTTGAGCAGGTTTAAATATAGGTCATTGATAGGATAATGACAATTTCCTAAATGAGATGTGCTTATTAGCAGTTATGTAAACAATTATMATAGATGTTAGTGCATGTAAATGCCCTGGCATAGTTTTAGGTTTTGGTTTGTATTTTGAAAACAACACAGAATTTTTTTAAGTAGTTCTTATGAGTCAAGATCAAGCCCGTATTTACCAGCATCTTCTACCTGCCTTTTTACAACAGCACTTGATACCTATTATCTCTAATGGTGCACTTCCCCCTCTCTGCCAATTTTCTCACTGTTTACCACTCGGATACTCAACCAGATGAAAAACCAGTCCACATTGCCAAGAAACAAACATAGCATGTGAAATTCTCCACACTGCTATACCAATGCTTTAAATCTCCTACCACACCACCACATTTAACATGCAACAAGAATGGATTCCAGGGCATGATCCCAAACCCATTCTTTAGCTGATCACTATGGCTACAGATCCCCACCTTGGCAATTTGCATCAGACCCTTGTCATATTTTCACATKATGGTATTTCAAGTACTCTCCCATACAATCCTCTTATTTACTACTACTAAGTTGCTATTTTAAAACAGGTACATAAAATGAGTAAGCATATAATTTTTTTACTTATATTAGAGAAGCCAAAGCTAACTGAAATTTAAAAACTGACAAAAAAAATCCATACCTGATGGTCTTCTAAGTTTTTCTGTCAGTAAGCCGATTTGCTCAACACACAGCGCTATGTCAAATTAACCATCTTGAATATGGCAGACCATTTGTAACCATAATAGAGCATGTGAGGGCCTCAAAATTTTTGTAAGTCTGAGACATGTTGATAAAAAGCTATAWGCATAATACTTTCTAATTTAAAGACAGTACAATAAATTGGAACGTTTTCTCTGCTGAGTCAAACAAGAAAGGTCAAAGACTAAACTGAAAGTGTTTCAAGCACTTAAGTTTTCTAGAATTCAAGAATGCACATACACAATAGAGCCAAAGCAACATGCTTAATGAAATATTTAATACAGATAGCAGTTTGTACAATTACCTGCAGGTAACTTGAAAGCCATGCCATAATCCAGCCTTMAGAAATTAAATGCTTGTCTTGTCCCATCATGCCCAAGTATTGCATAACATAGGRTAGTTAACAATGAAAGGTTTAAGAACTTTGACTGTGTTGCAGTGCAGCTCATGCTGTGTCATACTACTGAAAAAATCTGCACTAATTACAGACTATATTATTCTTAAAATCCAGAGCTACATTAGCTGCATTTCATAGAAGGGCTTGGTATGAATCTGAAAACCGGCTGATTTAGAGCACRTAAAGTTCTAGGGTGTAACATCAATTTATTTGGAAAAAAAATACAGTGCTGAGCAACTGCAGTCTGCACTTGGTTAATTTTTCGCTGGATATGTAAAATTAACTTAGCAGTCATTAAGTAAAACAACTTTACTTGTCCCAGTTCAATCCCTAGTGGTCAAAACACGCACTACAGGACCCCTCAATTCCACTTAACAAAACTGCCAGACTCGTGAGAGGAACTGTTAGGAAYACAGGATGTGTCTTAAAACCATTTTCACTATCAGTGAGACTATTTCATGAATGCCACTCATTATACTTCTGTTTCCAGTAATAAATTTTCTATCAGAACCAAACAAAATACTTCACAAAATTTCAAAATAACAAGTAGGAAGAGTGGCAAACAAACACAGTATTTCTTGTTAAATACATTTTTAAACGCTCCTCACAATCAATTTACATACACAGATAAAACAGTAATTTCTCAGCATTTGAAAAAAATACTATTCCACCACTATWTTGATACAATGTGCTTTCACATTTGCATGACTCACCTCAGAATCACCTACTTCCAGCAATGAATACGACACACRCAAGTCTTTCAGAATTCGAACCGTTTTCAACTGTTAATTTTATATACTTTTCATAATATTCAAAGATTTTGCTTATTAAGAAATTACCAACTTACCTGGAAAGTTACCATTTTAAAACAAATCTTACTCCTTCCCCACGCAACCACATTTATTATGGCAAAAAACAGAGCGATCCGCAATCTACAGACTTGCTAAAACAAACGGGCTGTTTCAGYGTTTATTTAAAAACATCTTACCTTGCCTGTCTTGTGATCAAACCAGACAAGAGCATGGTTCCTGGACAGCACCTTGCAGTCAAATGTGGCGTTGTTCTGGGCTGGCCGGCAGCGAGCCACGGAGCGGCCGATCTTGACAGGCTCGTCCAGGTAGACATGACGCTCCTGAAACGGGTGAGAGTTCGGGCGGCAAGTGAAGATGGCCAAGGCTGAAGGCATCGAGGACAGATTGTGGTTGCCACACCAACCAGAGATGAAGGGAGCCTCTTCTGATGCAGACTGTCCTCCGCAATTTTTAAAACACCTCCACAGCAACTTTATATTAAAGCAGGATAAATATTATCGTATGAGAGGCCTAACAACTCATTGTTTCAGTGTGTAAACTAATTCTGGCAATAATCCAGTGAAAAAGCCCCATTATGTCTTTTAACAATATCAGCAGTGGCCCAAAAAAAGTCTAAAACGTACAACCCTCAATCCATCCTCCTCTGGAAGAACAGGAACAAGCATCTGATTCCTTCAGAGAGAAGCAAAGGCCCCGTGAAAGAAGGATACAATGTCTTAAATCCAAGTAGATGARTCATACAAGTACTTTTGTTTGTAACCTCAACTGCCTTCTTTCCCCCCCTTCCGTAAACAACACTGACCGAAAGTCTGACCAATGCAACATGGAAGCAAGGAAAGGTYTAGGGAAGGGGGATGAAGGAGAAAGATTAGCGTCCTCTCTCACAGGGCACAGATCAGGAACTGGAAGATGAATACAAAGCCCTCGCTCCACAACAAGGATCTATTGCTTYACACAGCAATCCGCATTTCACCATCTTCGTGTTGAACCCCAGCAGAATAGGTGGTCCTCGATTTAGGATGCAGCGCGAGAGCTACACTGTTTTTCTCCCCTATACCAGATAAAGCTGAACTGGTCTACAGCTTCTGGGAGCCGCTCAGATAAGGAACTTGATAAGGCATGGAGAGGCTCCCAACTCCCCTTCTCCCGGGGACAAACCAAGGCGTGGRAAGGGTCCTTGGGGCTGGCCCGCGAGGTGCGGTGACAGGTCGCTCCCCGGCGGTGGCTCTGGCCGGCGGCGGGGTCGGTGTCCGTCCGTCRGCGGCGGCTCGGCAGGGGCGGACGGCGGGGGTTGCCCCGGGAAGTCCCCGCCAGGAGCCCCCGGCGCGGGGCGCGGCGGCGGCGGCTCCGCTCAGCCCCTCCGCAGGTGGCTGCGCATGAGGCGGGCCCGCTGCGCACTCCCGCGCTCTCCGCCCGCCCAACGCGGCTCCGCTGCCCCGGCGGCGGGAGAGGCCTGGCGGCCGGGCCCGGGCGCTCCCGCTCGGTCGCTCTGCCGCTCAGGCGGCCGCCGGCCGCGGGAACTTTCCTCCGACCTGCGGAGCCGAAAACAAACCGGGTCAGGCGCGTCCCTCAGCGCGTCCCCCCGCGTCCTCTCAGCCTCGCGCCGCGCAGCCCCACGAGCGGCACAGGGCGCGCCCCGCTCCCCCCTTACCTTGCGCGCAGCCGCCGCCATAGCGCCTGGAGCCCTTCCCGGTGTGGCCGCGGCGGCGGGGCCGGGGCGGGGCGGGGCCGGGGGCGGGCGGCGTGCGCACCGGCGGGCCCCGCGCATGCGCGCTGCGGGCGGTGAGGCTGCGGCACGGGCGGGCCCGCCCCGCTCCGGGCGTGTGGGGAGGGGGCGGCGGGATGGGCCGGGAGGGGACAGGGGAACGGGGAACGGGAAAGGGGAAAGGGGCTGCTGCTCCTTCTGGAAGGGCTCGGCTGGGACTTGTTAGCACGGGGCAGGCCGCTGAGGTGAGTGAGCCCCGGCCCCGTGCCGTCGCTTTGCCCTCCTCATTCTCAGCTCTGTCCTGGTGGGGAGGGAGGGGACGAGCGGGGCCCTTATAAATAAGGGGGAGGGAATGGCCTGAAGTTGTGTCAGGAGATTAAGGTTGGATTTTAGGAGAMGGTWYTTTACCCAGAGGGCGGTCGAGCAYTAGAATAGGCTCACGCAGGAAGTGGTCAGGGCCCCAAGTCTGCCAGAGTTCACAAACCCTTTCAGCACAGKGTGGSATTCTTGGGGCTCYCTGTGCAGGGCYAGGAGTTGGACTCGATGATCTGATTCCAACTCAGATTATTCTGAGGTGAAGAGCGGAGCTCAGAAGAGGAGCTGGGGTGACACGTTCTCAGCAGAGCTTGCATGAGAAATTGCAGGAGTCTCCTGAACATCCTCCTGCTTTTCCCGTGCTCTTCTGGTCGTTTTATGATCCCAGATAAAAACCTAAGGAGCCTGCAGTGTGGTTTGAGGTGTCCTGGGGGTTGGCAGTTGGTGCAGGGGACCCTTGGAGCAGTGGCTGCAGGGACAGGTCTGAGTGGGGTCACTGGTGCTGTTTCTTCCCTCAATACATCATGGGGCATCATCCAAGGTCATATTTATGCCCGTTTTTTAGAAAGCAAGGAAAGGTCACTTGTCAAGGTCATATGGGAGGCTGGTGCCAAACGAGTCTCTCCAGTCCGAATACATTTTTAATTYCGTCATTCCCCGTAAAGCAAACAAGTGGAAATTGTTTGATATAAGAGATGTTGGGGTCATGCCAGCACTATAATTACCCTGTGACAAGGTGTTAGGATTAGGGATACAGAAGGGTTCTCTGATGGCAGAGCTGACAGCCGTGGAGCACTGGAATGGAGCTGGGCCAGGCAGTTCAGCAGTGGATGAGGGGAAAAGCAGCAATGGAGGTAAGACAGTGCAGTGTGTGAGACAAAGCACGATTGCTGTGTTCTTAATTCTTAGTTGTAGCACAGTAAAATCTCAGGGCTGTCTTCATTTTTTTCCCCTTYCTTTTTGACTGCACTGTGTTTTGGGGAAGGAGTGTTGATTCATAACAGACTAGTTTTCTTCCAACAATCCAGTGAGAAAAAGCAAAACTAGGCTGTATCATCTGTGTTTGAAACAAAGAACTGAAATCCAGGATTAAAGACAAATCTCATTTTGTGAAGACAAAAACAATTGATAGGTGGAAGCTTTAGAACTGTTTATCCATAATTTTAATTCTGACAGGAAGAAAAATCAAGCAAAAAAAAAAAAAATACTGCACACTATTTCATGGCTTTCATCAGTTYATGAGATTGTACTACTGTGATATTGTAATTTACTTTTAGTGAATTTTTTAATAAGGGGAGATTCAGTGTGGCTGTTGCTTACAGCACACAATGTGCCATAACAAATCAAAGGGGAGAAGGGGTATAAAAAGAAGATGGAGAAAGTGAGAATAAATTTGGGTCTATTAGTAGTTCTATTTGAGGGAAAGGGTTGCAAAAGTAGAAATAATTGAGAGTGCTTGGAAATTGCAAAGGTGTAAAAAGTGGGAACAAAGGGTACTACAGGTATTGAAATTGAAAGAATGTTTATGAGAGCATTTTTTRTATTTTTGTGTGCATGTTCAATGGAGAAAGGAGACTGAAAGTAAAATTAGAGATGAAGAAGGTCTATTACCATATACAGAGCCTAAGAGAATCAGGTAAAATAATAAGCTGAGCAGTGGATACCTTTTTCTGATGTTCTCGGTGTTTTTAATAATATAACATAACTACGTCATTTAAAATGTAAGCCACTGGCATATTATATTTTCCTGAAGCCTTCTTCATCCCCTGGAGAAATCCCACTCTGACAGTTTCACGGGGAWGCAATGGTATGTGCCAGCTGCCTTTCTAGTTCTCTTGGGCACTGCCAAATGGCTCATGTAACGACTGAGCTGTACCCACTGCTCATCGAGGACATTAATTTGAGCCTTCCTTCTCTGCACGAGTGCCAGCTCCTGGAGGAGCTGCATGCGTGTGGTTATCCCTCAGCCTTTTTAACTCTTGTTTCAAATTGCCTGTTAAGTTCAGTAGTTACCAGCAGCAGAATTATCGGCTAAGATGAAAATACAGAAAGCAGCTGCGTTCTGAAATAGGGATACCATTATTGTATGGGTATTTTATGAGGTGTCTGCTGCTTACCAGAAAGTGTCCATTCCAGAACTGTGGAAAGCAACAGGTGGATGAAGAGTTYTGTGAAGTGCTGGGCCACTGTGCTGTGCTCACAGGAGGAGGAGAAAGAGGAGGAGAGAGGAAGTGTCAGTTCCTGCTTCGTTTCTGCAAACGCTGMCACACAGCTGAACCAGGCAGAGCATTTCGCAGCCATGTTAGGTAAGGGCAGCAGCATCGCTCTGTGTCTGTCCTTTTTCCGGGCAGGAAGTCCATGGAATTGTTATGATAGCCATYATAGCTGAGGGCAGAAAGAGCCCGCTCCATAGCCATCTTGGATAAGGGAAAGGGAGCCGAGGGGACCGTCCATTTGTTCCCTAAAGAGCAGGTGTCTGTTTCAGGAGGAGGAAATGCAGCTGAGGTAGTTTATGTGCAAACCTGAAAAACATCTGGATTTTGGCTTGGGTGTGTTGAAGTCTTAATGACTTGATGAAAAATGAGATCTTTTGCTGAAGGAAGCCTATTACAAATTCTGAGCTAACTGTAACTGACTCAAAAAGAAAAACACTGAGCATAATTTGAGCCACCTCAGTGCTACATTTCTGAGTATTGYGCAGCGGTGATCTAGAAAGCTGCCAAAATGATTAATATATATCAGCCTGAGTTTTCAGTGCAGAGGTATGAACCAGTCGCTAAGTGGGAGATGCTGATTCCAGATAAATTGTTACATTTGGAATGACTGAGGCTTGCTGTATAGCAGAAGTTCAGTTTGTAGTATAAAAATTAAGATGCAAACTGATAATGGAAGCAGAATAAACAGGTAAAGAGAAAGAGATGCATGGTTTTCTATTTAGTTCTCATCTCTGAAACTCACTCATCAGCAATTTATCCAATCAATTTTGTATTGATTTTCAGAAAYAGAACAAATTCCATGTATAATTGCCATACCACATTTTAAAATATGACAGTCTAAGAAGGCTTTTAATGCTATATAGAGCAAYGTGGAAATGAAAAGCAAAGTTTGAACTGTTACTTACATCTTACATATCTTTTGCAAAACAAACTTGCCTYGTAAGTAGCTTTTGAAACATTCTGAACTAAGCTGTCAGAAAGTAAGGAACTGTTTCAGAGACATTTTCTCTAGTGTTTAAAAAAATTATTCTAATTGTCACCCCAGATTTAATAATGGGSTTACACTTTTTTACTTTAGTGCTATTACTGTTCTTTAGTTTCAGACTTATTTTCTGTTCATGATCTTTTAACTCTCTGACTGTTATGTAAAGAACAATTACATTGTCTTTCAGCATTAATTTTGAAACAGTAAGCGACTCAGCCAGTTTAATCCTCCCTTGTAAGGTAGGCTCTCCATTTATTCCATTTTGCTTCAGATCCTTCCCTGCTTCTATTTCTAGTATGCATTAAAAAAAAGACACTTGTATCCAGTACACAAATGAGTGTCTTGCCAACATAACAATTACAGTAATGTAATACATGTAGTAAGCATATACTGAATATACTATTYGATTTATGTTATGTGATAAATATAAATGTGTTATACAATGATTTAAAATATTTATTTTTATGTGTTATATATYCTATCTATTTATAYATACTATGTACATYGCATAGTATGTTGATGATRTGTGTATTTGGTATATATATGTAAGTGTAATGTACCAGGCATACCATKAATAYATGTTATGCTAATAAATAACTAATTTTACATGCAGTGTTTCTTCATTTCAAATAAAATCAAGCAAGTTGATATATCTGGCATTTCCACTGCCTTATCATTTTAGCTGAACATTGTCATCATGTGACCAGCTCTTATTTGCTTTTCTGTTAATATATCAATTAAACAGTCAATATTGACATTTTGAAATGCTTGATRTTTTCTGTGGCTGTTTGAAAAACAGAAAAGATGCTTTAAAAATACTCATGACTTTTGTGTGTGTGTGTGTGTTTATTTGTGTTAAAGTAATGTATTTAATAGATCAGATCTAATTTTCAAATACAAGTAAAATACTCCTTTAAACCAAAATCTCAAGGCGGGGGATGGAGGGGGAAGGTGAGATGAGCAGATGATGTTTATGCAGTTCTTTGGTGTTACTCTGTGGATGTGAGCAGTCTGCACAGTCAMTCCCTGCTGATGCTGATGGAACCTGGCCAGCCAGCAGCCAACACAACATTTGCTGCTACCTGATAGAAAGCATCCTGCTGAGAGAGGCAGGAGAGAGCCATGGAGATCACAGCTGTAGGAGCAAGATAGAGCATGGAAGAAAGCAAGGCAGGCTCAAACAGGGAACAGTTGTGAATCTTTAGAGCCCAGCTGTCCCACATGGGCCTTTCTCATTTTTATTCCAGCAACTGACATCACAGGGCATGCTTTTTCTAGAAGTCTCTCTTGTCCAAACCCTTCCAAATATTAACAGATGGTGTATTCCTACAAAACAAGGCAGAGTTCCTGGAGTTTTGTAAGGGCGCATTCCATGTGCAGAGCCCTAGTGTTTCATGAGGCTTTATTGCAAGCTGTASCAAAATGCTCTCAGTTARTAGGTTCCCAACTCTGAAATCTGTCTTTTGTCACGCATTGATACTTCATTAAGAACAAGGCAGTCTCAGATGTTTTTAAATGTTATGATACATACTGAAAATTTTTTATTCTTTTCTTTAAGGTACATTCTTTCTCAACTGAAGAAGATAATCACATTTTATCAAAACTAAAATGTTTTTGTAATGGCTAGGTGAAAATCTCCCTGAACCAGTGTTTCCCTGGTTATTGGGAATATCTCCAATGGATGAGAATCCTTTCTTCAGCACTTTTTGATCAAAGATTGTGTGTCTGCTCTCTTAACTTTCTACTGCCAAAAGATTATTTGTTAAGCATTAAGTGGAATTCATTTACTATATAATGAAATGAGCAGAACATATTACCCTTACTAARTACTTTATTCTTAATATTTCACACATACTTGTTATTCACATGAAAACTTACAAATAGAGGTCAGCAAAATCTAGGACATGCATGATGATAATAGCTAAAATTTTGGTTTGCCATGAGARCAAGAATATAAACAAGAAAAAGTATAAAAATATAAACAAGGGAAGGCTTAAAAGAAGCAGTGAGATGGAATCTTTTCTTAAACCAAGTGATAAAAGCTTTTGGCCAGGCCCTATTTCAGTCCTTAAATGGAAACAGCAAATGAAATTCCACTGAGAGTCATTGTGCTGAGTTTAACTTGATTAAACTCAGTCTTAGTCATGTCTTTTTTTGGATAGCAATCTTTTACAGAAATCAGGAGTTAACTACTTGAAAAATTTGTGAGTCTTGCATGGTGYCACAGTAAAATACCTGAAGCAGCTGAAGACAGCGAGAACCTTCCTTTTCAGCCCTGCCTGAAGGCTGCACACTGCAGAACCACATTCCTATCTCAGTTTGTATCTAACATTCACTTTGCCACTAATGGTTTATGATAGCTGAAGGCCGCTATATCTTGAATTATTACCATGATAATTTTGTGTGTTACAATTTTGTCTGAGTTGTATGTTTGTTCCTCCTTTGTCTAGAAAATTACTCTAATGATCAAAGCATACTTCTAGCAGTTTGGTTTTGATAGATAAACAAATGTTAATGGACCTTAAGGAAACAGTGCATCTAAGGAGTCAGAAATTTCTTTTATGTATGTATAGATGTATTATCTTGGTTTTAATATTTGCAGCTCATATTCTGGAGAAAAAATGGCATGTAGTGATTCAGGTAAGCTGCCTGTGTGCATCTATTGCTGCTGAAGCTGTTCTGGTAGCAGTAGCTGTTCTAGTAGCGAATAATTAAATAAAAAGAGGTCAGGAGTTGGGGGGGCGGGGCATGCATGATTTTTTTTTGGTTAAGTAAAGTAGTTATTTAGCACTTTTAATCTACAAAGTGTTTCATAATGAAATATAAATAGCTGGCGGACTGTGCTAAAAGAATATTTGAAAGCTCTTACATTATTAAATAAAGAGCTTGGGCTTTGGCTAAGGCACTAAAAGAGGGTTTAAGAGATTTGGATGCTTTTTTTATTATCCCAGTTTCCTGTGAGGGTGAAGTTATCCAGCCATCAGCCGGAGGGTTATTTCCATCTCCCTGCTGAGCGGTGCTCAGCGTTGCATAGGAAACGATGGACATACGCCTGTTAATTGCTTGGCGGCCACGTCCCCGTGCAGGTGCTTTGGCTAACATGTCAAAGAGAAAAGAAAGCTGACTGATCCGTCGCCTGCRGAGCTGTCCTGACGATCACCCCGCTCGGCACGGGTGGGCCGGGCTCCCCGGGGCTGGGTGCGGTGTGTGCAGCCCCGATGGAGAGCTYCTTTCCCTTTACCGAACCGCGGCGCCCGCCCGCTGCCCGTTCGGAGGGGCCGCACCGCCGCCCTTCCCCGGCGGGCCGCGSGGGGGCGCTCCGTCCCTGCCGCCGCTCCCGCCCCCCCGCTCCCCGCAGGAATGGTTCGGCCTCCCCGCCGTGCCCGCTTGGCCCCGCCCACTCCGGGCGGCTCCGGGGGGAGCGGGCGGGGCGCCGCGGGTCACGTGACTCCTCGCGGCCGGGCCGGGGTCGGGGCCATGTCGCGGCGGGAGCGGGGCTCGGAGCCGGGGCCCGGCGGCGCCGGGGCGGCTGCGGAGGATGCGGCGCTGGCCGAGCCGGAGAGTCCCGACCAGTGCCTGTCGCTTCTGCCCTGGGACCGCTTCTCCGCCTGGCTGCACTGCGTGTGTGTGGTGGGCTTCGACCTGGAGCTGGGCCAGGCCGTGGAGGTACGTGCGGCGGCGGGCGGGGGGCAGCGCTCGCCCCTCAGCCTGCGGGCTGCGGCGGGGCCCCGCCGGAATCGGACGCTTCCTCTGGCCCGGTGTTGCACAGTGGCAGGGGAAGCTCGGCCGTGCTTGAGGAAACGGGATTGTGCAGAGCCCCAGAGCAGCGAGCGGGGCAGCGCTCAGGGGAACCGGCCCGGCTGTCCCGGGTGAGGTTGGTGATTTTCGGGCAGCCCTTCTCATGGTGCTGCTTGTACAATCAGCGGGCTCTTGTAGATGGTTTTCACCGCTTGCCGAGATTTTGTGTGAAATACATCACCGGCTTTCTTTGCACACGAATGAGCGCTGATTGCCATGATATCCGGGTGTTAGAGTGTGGTAATAGGGAGAATGCGAGYGGTCTTCATAATTAACAGCGTTCTCCAGGTCGCTGAGGTGTGCGAAAAGATTCTCTACAGGTGTGAAGCGTTTTGCTTCAGCACGAGCTACGGCTGCTGCTGCCAGCTGTTTGTGCCCTCTGTGCAACAGGCAGGGACAGCTGTGGCACTGCTTTGGGAATGCACGGGGAGCTCACAGTGCTGGGAAATGGAAAGAAGAATTATCATTTGGATCAGTTTCACATCCTGTTTCACCCTATTCACCATGTGACTGCGAAGCAAACGCTTGGTCTTCAAGGAAAGTGTCTGTTTCTTTCTCTCTCGTTAAAGAGGTGCATGGCAGACTACTACAATTCAACCAATCCAGCTATWATCATATGTTAAATACATAACTGTTGGCCATAGAGAAATGCAAATAAAACTCGAGCATACTGTGCTAATTTTCTGAGTTCTGTTCCCTTGAGGTTATAAGGTGGTGTTAACAACAGAGAAACGTTTCTRTATAACCTGTGACTTGGGCAGCTGAGGGAGGCACAGCCTCTGACCTAGCTCCAGACTCTTCTTTGACAGTCATGTKAATTTAATTGACTGGGTACATAAAATTTAACTTAAAGTGTCTACAGAACTAAGGCCTGTTTTTTTTTTTGGTAGGTAGCTGCAGGAAGAATAATTAGCTTTTAGTCTTTCTGGGAATTCTGGGAAGAAACACCTGCTAGTGAGGAGGAGTATGGATTCAAGTCTGTATGCCAATCTGCTGACTAGATGTGGATAATTTCAGCATCATTCAGCTACTGAAAGAGTTCCTTTTAGTGTGCTGCTTAGCATAAGATAGCAACGGAAAATACTAAGAGTTGGAAAAGTGRTGGTGATGGATTTACTGCATACAGAATGCAGGTGTCACACTCGTGTCTGTTTTCAGCTCTTGGTCCCATCTTTGGAAGCTCTGACACCTTTAAAATATAATCCTGGAATTTATATTAAATTTTCTTTGCTTGCAAGCTAGCCATCCATTTCAGTAGTTTTGGAGTGGGTTGTGGAGTTTTTTGAGGATCTTTTTAGCTGAAATTTAAGTGTCTCAGGTCTGTYCTCTTTCCTGTATATTCTGTTCTCACTTACTTGCATAATCACTGAATTTGTACATCCTTTTTTCAGTAATGGTGCTTCTGCATCTTACATTGTGTTGCATCATTTTTGATTTCTGTGTTGTGAAAACTAATTACATGAATTTTTTTCTCTATAAGTGCAAAAATTACTTTGAGTGTATTCCTTGACCTTTCACAGTTGGCATTTGGAGCCAKTGTTCATCCTCTGAGAATTAGTGTCAGTATAGAGGATGTTTTTTGGTTGAATTTTGGTTACTCCAACCTAACTTTGCATTGCCACAGATTTCAGACAATAATATGTTTTTGCTTTAAATGTAATCACCTACTGCATTTTGTATGAACAAGTTAAATCTAAAAGATGTAATCTTGCTCTCCTTTGAGACCTTTTGCAACAAAAATTTCAAGTCCATTGAATGTACATTCTGAATATACATTTTTAAATGTATGTGTATGGTCTCTAACTGGCATCCAAAATACGTTGTAAAGGTGGATGATCAAGAAAGCTTAAAAGCATATAAAGATAAGAACAGGGATATTATTAATAGTTTACAGTTGAAAATGAAATTAATAAAATGTAAAAAAATAACACTAGACAGGTATCTGAGGGTTGTATTGTTAAAATATTTGATGGAAACTTACTACTTATATTCAGTTCATTTTCAAATAAAATATTGCTGTCTTTTTTTCCTGTAGGTAATATATCCTCCACATTCCAAACTCACAGATAAAGAGGTAAGTTATGGTTGCTATATATAATTTGGTTTTAGTTTAAGAAATCTATAAATCTATTATATCTCAGGAATTGTAACAGCTCTCTTTTCTTTTCCTCACCCTTTAGAAAACCAATATTTGCTATTTGTCTTTTCCAGATTCTAATTCAGGTAAGTGCTTCCTTCACTCTATAGTTGTCTGTTGTTTGACTAAACTCTGTTAAAAAAGATAGAATTTGGCAGGATATATTTGGGGCTTTAGATCAAATAYGTATTTATATATCTTAATTAATATTGCAATGCAGAAATGTTGCAGCTAAGTATAAATATAAAACTGCAACTGTCTGCATTGCAGTAAGGTCTGAGGAGTCTTCTTCCGTTTATGTAAGCATGTAAGACCTTCCAGATGACATTTGTTTCAGAATACTTGGCAAGTAAAGAATGAACATCTTAATCTTGCTCTTTAAACAAAATAATAGTATTGTCACTGTAGAGAGGAGAGTAGGCATGGAAYTTGAAGGATTTAATAAAGCAAATTGAAGTATATGGCATCTTCTTCTCATAAAGGACTAAATGTGTATTTTCTAAGTTCATAACAGTGATATTAACTTTTAAATTCAGAAGCATTTAGAAAGAGCAGTTGTGAAGGGAAAAYCTCAGCTGTCTTCTCTGTTCTTGCTGTGTCTGTGGCTGTGTGTGGTCCTGCTTGTTAAATTAKTCTTGAAACTAAACTTCTGCTCTTCTGCTGCCAAAGAGAAATTGGGGCATGTGGCTGATGGGTTGGACCAYCTGCAAAAAGATATGGCAGAAGTACAGACACTTTCTTTCACATTTGTTTCTGTACAAAAATCAGAGCCCGCAGTACCAGCCTTGTGCCTGTAACTGCGCTGACTCTGCTTTTGGATGCTCTGCAGTGTAACAGCTCTGACAGGGAGATGCAGATGTGTGCTTTTAATGTGTGTGAGCTCTTTCTTACGTAATTTACAAAATGCTTTGGCTGGTTTTTCCTCTTCGTTTTAATGTCGTTAAAATTAAGATATGTTCTTTGTCCTTGCTATTCTGTATGTAAATAGAGGCAGAGCTTCTTTCTGTTATTGAAAGAGGAGATGAGTTAACTGTATCTTCTAAGTACTCTCATGTTTATGGTTATAAATGTCTTCAGTCTTTAAAAGGTATATTGAACCTACAAAATCATGTATTAGGACCAAAGGTTTCTTTCTTAAATTTTTTTTTAGTGTATTTTTCCAAATATAAGTGTAGTGAAGTTGCCTTAGGCAGAATAGATATATGTAAGGAGAKTTTACTTTCAGCAGGAAAAAAATCCCACTTTCTTTCCTTTTTATAGTATTCTTAATAAGAACTGTTGGTTCTTGATCATTCTTGGTAGGTTTAAGTTTCAAATTACATAGAGAGGGGATTACCTGTGTAAAACCTGCCTTCCACAAATGAGCTGGAAGTGTGTCCTATCTGTGAGGATTTTTTTTTTCATCATAGGCCTTTACATAAAAAGAAAAGCTTTATGTAAGATAGCAGGGAAGGAAGTTGTTAGCTTGCAGCTAARTTAGAGGTCAGTCTTCCTTAAATTTTCATGGCTTAAAAGGTTARTTGAACTTCTTTCTTTCATAACTACAAAGAGTTATTATTCTAGTACTTGTGGCTATGAATTTAGAGGAGAAAATTGATTTATTCAGCTACTAGACCGCAACACTTATTGTTGCTTTAAGCTGAGTTTTCCAGTAAAGTCATCTTTAAAATAATGGTAGAAGGTAAAAGCTTTTACCTTCCCTGCATGGATAGTTGAAGAAAGAATAGACGTTTACCAATCTTTTCTGGAAGAGCTTGTTCTCATATTCTGAATGATATTTCCACATATTAATGATTAAAGGTAATTTACTTTTAGGTCTTCTGTGTCTATGTTACTATAATAGTTTGTAGAGTATATTTTTTTCTTTGGYTGAAGGAAACTAGCTTTGAAAAGTTGAAGCAAATATTTAGTGCTGTGTTACTGGCATGTGATGTGGTTTTTCTTATTACTGAATCCATGTTGCTGAGCACTTGCTTTCACTACCTGTTTGAATCAGATGGTTTTCCCATCATGCGATGTTTTGCTACTTTTGGTTTTGTCGTGGTGCATTGAGGGTTTCTGACTGCAGCTTYAAGGGGTGCTGAGAGTCAGACCTGGGTGCTCTGTGTGTGTCAGTGTTGATCTGCACAGCCAGAGACTCAGACTGCGGGGTTGGGCTGTCTGTGCTTGCTGTGACTGAAAGAGAAGATGAAATTAAACTTTCAAGTCTGGCGAACAGTTCCCTGAAGAATTAGTTACATTTTTCTTTAAGAAATTAATTTTGACAGAAATGAAGGAAAACTTCACTCCTTGAGGATGTTGCTGGGAAGTCCTATTCAATTTCACTCAGTTTTCAACAATTAGCTTTGCAGCTTTCAAAATGATGAAACCTAGACCTGCCTGGGGAGTTCAGATCAGCATAATGCATTCCTACAGTGTGACTTCTGTAAGAACTCTTTGGTATCAAAAAAGAGGCAAAGTGCAGCCATTTAGCAGAGAAATTACATGGTTAGGATGATCAAAACTMTCCAGGCAGACCAGTGAAATGGGCAGTATCAGCAGGAGAACAGCCATTAGTTGACCTTTTTGAGGACRTAAGTCAATGATGTTTTTCTCCTTGTTGCAGACAGTGTATTTACTGTTGCCAGAGATGCCAAATTGTTCATGTATAAAATTATAAATATATAAATGGTCATAATAGCAATGCAAGATAAATGAACCAAAACTCTGATACGTCTTTGACTATAGAAAAGGCTCAAACTCAGAATATTGTCTGTTTGTTGTTTATCTCTTTCCSCATGTAGGTTGTCTTGGGGATACACAATTTTGTTTCAGATTCCGACGGTCTCCTGGAAGGAAGGTCTCATTGTGTTGTTTTCTGGACCAGTTGGATAGAGATCTACCAGTTTACTTAAAGGTTGGAAATAAGAAAAAATGAAGTCAAATTTATTTTGGGTAATGTTAATTTGTGGGTCTTCACCTTTAAATGTAATGAGAGATCTCTGAACTGGGCGTCTTCAAAGTCAAAGCTCAGAAAATGTTTATTTTAACATATTATTATAATTGTAATAATAATTAGTTTCATTAACTATTCTTTAARTTTTATTAGTATGGATTTTTTTCATTATTGGCTAGAAACCTGTAGATCAAATTGTAAGAACCATTATTTTTGTGGAAACATAGAATGCTTTATAACTTCATTTAAAAAAAAAAAAGTCTGAACAACTTGCTGTTTTGCTTGGTTTCCGCCCTACACTTTTTGAAGATGGAGCAGTTACCTAAAAGCAGTAGTGGCCAAAAGTTGTTCTCCTCATGYCCACGGGGAATATTGAGGCCTCTGGGAGTTGGATTCTCAAACTCAGTTTAGTTCTGTTTATGTGGCAAATACTTGAATTCCTGTTTGTAGGAAGGATGAAGCTGATGTCTTGTCTTTGAAGTGTGAGAGCATACTTCCTTAATATTCCAAGAATCTTTTGTAAAACTAATACTTTGAAAGACTAGGTTTAATCTCTTTAAGTCAGGGCTTTAAGGTTTTTAACTGCTAAAATCTTTTTCGTGCTACTTTGCAGAATTATAAATGTTGATTTATTCCTCAAGAAATTATTTCTATTTTGGTTTCACMGTGTGTCAGGAGAATGTAGATACAAAAATAGTAAAGCCAGAAAGGACAGCTGTTTCCACACACTGATGTTTTCTCTTTGAAGTATTTACTGAAATAAAGATAATACTAATAAACACAGTAATGCTTCTAGTTTATTGTATGTAATCAACTTTGCAGTTTGCAGGGAAATAGGCTTTTAAATTGTGTGCTGAATTCTTCAGAAAGGAGGGCAGTATCAGGTGGTTGTATTGAATTCTTTCCTTTCTTTTGCAGAAAGATTCAGCATATTATTATGGCTATGTGTATTTCAGACAAGTTCGAGACAAATCATTAAARAGAGGCTATTTCCAGAAGGTAATTTCAGTTCTTTTAGGAAAATATTGGTTTGGAAAGTAATWATTTTTCAGTGACTGCAGAGGAACAAGAAAAGTGTCTTGCTCTCTAAGTTGAGACTAACTAAATTGGTCTAATTTTACATCARTCATGCCATATTCCAGCTCTGCTGTCAGAAGAGAGAGTTTTGTGTCAGTGTTTAAAAACAGAAAGTTGGGAAGTTTTGGAGTTGTTTGTTTGCAGTTTGTCTGTAGTCAGATGTGTGGTTTGCTTGCATGTGTGAGAAAAGTCACACCTGGTATTGTSTGAGGGTAACAGGTGCAGCAGAACTGAGGGAAAGTGTTAACTTGAAATTCTGTTTTGTTACTCTTTATTCCAGTCCCTGGTCCTCATCAGCAAGCTGCCTTATGTCCATCTCTTTCGTACCATGCTTAAGCAAATAGCACCAGAATATTTTGAAAAAAGTGAAGCTTTCCTGGAAGCAGGTAGTGGTCCTATAATGTTGTTCTGGAAGAACTCTTCTATCACATACTTCTTCTGGATAAATAAACAGCGCTGTTGTGTTCTAGTTTGTGATTTTGTCTTCTTGCAGAGTAGAGGGTTGAAATTTTAGCAAACTGRCTTGACTTGTAGATCATTGAACAGAGCTATTGAATTCTGGATCCTCCCTGGCGGAGTTGGGGGTCCCCTCCCTGGGAGAGTTGGAGATCCTTCYTGAAACACATCTAGGATTGTGTGTGTTTCAGGACCAGCTGTTGAGCTCAAGGAACTGATGGCAATCCTTAGTTTGTGCTCTTCACCCYCCTAGTCCTTTTGGGTAGTCTGACAACATTTACTAAGCAGCTGTACAAATGTCCTCTTGCTTGAGGTTTGGTTTTTTTTTGTGTGTGTGATTTGTTTGATTTTGAATGGAAAAAGCAACAGAAGCACTGGTAACAGGTACCTCAGCCAAACTGCAGAGCTGAAAGAGCTGGAAAAGGACAAATAGAAAAGTATTTGCTCTTGGCCTGGAAGAGCTCTGGTCTGTGTACTGTGCCTGCCCTATACAATTTTCATGTCTTTGTGTTTTCACTGAGCAACATTCTGTGTAAACCATGAAAGAATTTTATTTTTCAATCACCTGTTTTCTTGAGAGGTTGTATTATGAACAAAATAAACTCTGCAGAAACTATGAGATACACCTATTATATTCATAATGGTTTACAAGAAAATGCTGGGAAACTTTCTAGCCAAGCTAGAAACCAGCTTTTTCCTTAACTGCTGGTGTGTTTATTGGTTCTGCAGTAGCCAGTGTACATAAATGTAGGTGTTCTTTTCAAAGTTTTTTTAATACATACTTTCATGGTTTCTCAGATAACATTTCTTTAACTAATTTTAAGTCTCATTGCTACAAAAAACGGAAGACCAGAGAACACTGTTTTCTTGAAMTGAAAAACTTTATAGTTCTAATGGAATAATATATAAAAATTGACCAAAAGGCTGCAAAACTTGTTCAGTGTGATCAAGAGACGAGTAGAACTGCTGTGGACTATTAGCATTAAAGTTGCAGTGTACACAAAGGTGACTGATCATGGTTTATAGCTTATAGAAACTGTTGTATTTTTCTTTCAGTTTGTAGCGATGTTGATCGTTGGCCACCACCCGTTCCAGGGAAAGTTCTGCAGTTGCCTATTATGGGGGTTATAATGAAGGTAGGTACTCCTGCACTTGTTCTTCTCTGAGAGTGTTTTCCTCACTCTTTACCGTAGAGATCCTCACTGCCTTGGTCCTTATTTTCACTGTCCTATTCTTCCAAACAGGAGTAGATGTTTACTGCACTCAGAGTGAAGCTCTGGGAGATCTTGATTAGGTGCTTTGATTGGGGGGAGGAGGGCAGGATCTTTTATGGTGCTTAGGTTAATATTTAATTTTCTAGATACTAAAAAGTGATATTTCAGTATAACTACTAATTGCAGTGTCTGTATRATCCCTCTGGAATTTGAATTCTGGGAGACTTTAGTGCTAATTGTATTTGTCAAATTAAACATAAAGTAGCACTTCAAAATACTGACATTTAAGTTCCAGTCAAGCAGATTAAATACATTGATGAAATCATTCTTGTTCCTTGAAGTTGATAAGTAAAAATCTTTTTTGGCCCGCACACCAGAAATAATTGCTTGTGCTGTTTCTAATTTTGGATGGAAGTGAAACATGTCTGAAGAAAGCTATTAAAGAAGTTGTATYTAGTGCACAGGGAGGAACTGTAGAGTTTAAACAGTGGTTAAGAACTGGGCCTCTGGGAGTCATAACATTTTCATATGAAATGCAATTAAATGGATTTGTTGAAATCAGAGGTTACAGCCAGAAGCACGTTCTCAACAGAAACTCTCAAGTTTATGGTAAGACACATGTACATCACTGGGAGAGAAAAAAGTTTCTGAAGCTGTTCTGAAAGCAGAAATTTAATGAAACTTGATGAGTGTCAGATATGTCTTGTTTGGGTTTTGCATGAATTTATCTCATCAATAATTCTTACTCATGAAAGCTGTAATTGCATTCCTAAACAGAATAAAGCCATAATTACTGCCCAGTGATACTGTTCCTGTTTTTTTACATTGTTTGGGCAGTTTTAAGTTTTGTGTGTAAATGGCATCTGTTTGTGCATACCAGCTTCCAGTATGATTGCATTTGTAGTACTCAAGATTGCAGGTGCAAACTGTGAGGCCAGAGATGTATACTTGCGATCAGACTATTTGGATTCTGCCTCACTCACCAGGACATCTTGATGTTTTAGGAGAAGATTTTTTTCTAAAAGTAATTCTTACCATCTTAAAACTCCAAGACCTTATTTCAGATCATTCTTTCCAACATTTAGAGGTATTTTTATTGAAATTACAGTGACGGTTTTGACTAATTTTAGMAGTAGTCTCTTTTTTAACGAGTATTATTTTCATATTCTAGTATTCAATTTGTAAGTGGAAATTCTGTAGGTGGAAATTTTRTGGGGTAAATAAGCATCATGCTGTAGTATATCCTGTTTAAGCATTACAGATTGTCTCTAAGTCAGCATTTAAGTGTCTGCTGGATTCARTACAAGGGAAAATAAACCTTTCTTTTTCTTTCCAAGTTGCGGATTCCAACATATCGYGACAAGCCTGGAACAACACCGATAGTGCAGAATATGCACCAGGTAGAGATTAGATACTGATACTGTATATAACCCCAGACAAAGCTAGAGATCTGYTTTCATTCTTTCACTTTAAACTTGTTAGAAAAGATTGGTAGCAAATTGTCACATACTTTGATAATAATGAAATCCACAGTCTATGAAACGTYGAATGGAGGGAGTCCAGAGTTGGATTCTCCATAGAAAGGATATTCTGACCTAGTTACCCTAAACAGGGAGARATATCCAAGTCCTGAAAGAAGACAGTTGGCTGACAAAGTTACTAACTTGAACATCCCTTTGGCAGGATGTTGTGATGGTTTGGGGGTTTTCTTGAGGATGAATCCAGAATTAAATCTTTAGCCATAGAAGATGGGTACAAAACAAATCTGTCTGTGCCTTCATGTGCAGTTGTTTGAAATTGCTTCAGTGTTTCATATCTTTTCCGGACTGAAAGTTATATGCCTGCAAGTAGGGTGTCTGTATGTGTCTTGGGGAAAATCTTGCTCTTAGAACACAAATAGTTGTGGAAATAATGTACTACTGCAGCAGTACATAAATAATTAGGATATATATACTGTCTACTGTCTGTAAGCATTTAAGGGAAACCATTTCATTTAATACCTAGGTGTTCTGATGACTAAAAACCAAGCATTGCGATGTCTTTTAGGCAGATGCTCAGATCTCCATGGCTTTACCGACTGTTCATGAAGTAGATCTTTTCAGGTAGGAGTTTGGACTGATTGATTTCTAGTTGTGAATTCCCACATATCAAAGATATGTGACAGCTGTGTAACACATCTCACAGCTTGCAAGCTTTATTTATCAKTGTTGGTTTTAAAACTATTTTTCTGTGAAGTTTGTTTAAACACAGTTTAGACAATATGCAGGCTGAAATTGCAATAAATAAGTTAATTAAATGTTCCATTTTACAAGAGTATTTTATGTTTTTCAAAATACTATTAAAATATTTTTACATATTAAAATACTTTTCARTTCCTTTTTACCCCTTTATTAGCCAGAAGAAATATGTATTTTATGATGTCAAGCATATTAAAATACCTCAATCTGTTTTTAGGTGTTTCTGTCCGGTGTTCTTTCACATTCAGATGCTTTGGGAGCTAGTGCTGYTGGGAGAACCACTTGTTGTGATGGCACCATCACCATCAGAGTCTTCAGAAACTGTGTTGGCCCTTGTTAGGTAAATGTAGTAGAGCTTCCTGACGAATTATTGAACAARTCAGTGTAAGATTTCAGCTGAGTGGACCTTCATTTGATCTGAGTGTGATTACAGATTACAAATTTTAGAGTTGCTTGTGTCTGTCATGAAGGTTTGCACTGAATACRTAACCAAGCTCATCCTTGGTGTACCTTGCAGCTGTATTTCACCACTGAAGTACTGCAGTGATTTCAGGCCATACTTCACCATCCAYGACAGTGAATTCAAAGAATACACAACTCGCACACAGGCCCCGTAAGTAAATCAAACTCTGGGCAAGATGTTGCTCAAAGCCACTCGGAACCATAAATTTGTGTTGAAGTACTGTTTCACTATTCTGGATTTCTGTCATTAGAGAATCAGGTTTAGACTCTTTTGTTAATAGGGTTTATCTCACAGAGTGCAATGATTAGCTGATTTGATTTTTCACTCCAGTTAGATAGGACAAAGAAGTTATTAAACAATGCCATAATTAAACTAGGCTTGAGTTTCATAGGATTCTTCTCCACAGAATAAGTAAAACTGCAAGTGTGAATCCAAGAAAAATTCTTGCTTTTCTATAAGTGTTTGTGCAACACCAGCTCCAGAGTAGCTCCTTGGGAAATCCTGCTGTAATTGTTTTCATTTTTAATTGACAGCTAAACAAAGTGGCTTGTAGAATTCAACATCCATACAGCTGTTTTGTAAACCTAAATCAGTTGGTGTCCTAGTTGAGACAATTTGAAAATCAAATATCTCTTCAGTAAATTTGTTAGCTTATTATTGTAAATAATTTAGAGATTAATCTTATTTTTAAGAGTGTGAATGTACAAAACCAGTGATGTTTGAAACTGCTTTAAGGAGACACTTTTTCCCCTTTATTTTTTTTAAATCCTGCTCTTATTTTGAGACCATACATCTCCAGTATTTATTAATGTAACTTATTTAAATGCCTCTTGGTCTGGAATGGAATGCATTTGTTAGATTCACTGATCTTTTAATAGATAAATAMATTTCTTCTAGTATCAGAACAGGCAGAGGTTGATGGTTTGGATTTTTTGTTTGTTTTGTTGGGTTTTTTACTGTAGTTTTCCTCTCAATGGATATATTGCCAGAGATAGAGCAGTGGAAAAACACATAAACATAGGCAATATGTTTTAGATTGTGTTTCATGGGAATGGTTATGTAGTATGTAATTTAGTTTCTAAGAATAATTCAAGGAAGAATTTGGTTAAACTTTAGTTAACTCATGTTCCAAAATTGCATCCACTCCTCTGTAGCAAAATAGGAAGGTTGGTCACTATCTAAATCAGTATTTGAAATAGAGCTGAAATTGCTTTCTTATAGAAAACAAAAACTTGGAAAGATTGGAAATAGATTTTTAAAGCAGCGACTCTAAGAAGGTGAAAAATCTAGATGATGCCAATTCTGTGTATTTTATTACCTTACTAAGAGGGGAGCAGGGAAACTCAAGGATAGTGTGCAGGAACTGTTAAATTTTGGGATTTTTAAGGCCAATCCGACAAAATAATAACATATTTTTGAGATGGCAGTTTCAGTGAGACTTTTTGCTGTACTCCTTAGCTGACTGTAAAATGGATGGCAGCCACTGTATTGAATAGTAGGTTCATGTCTCATCATATACGTGCTATAAATCCCAAATTTTGCAGGCCTGTGCTCTTTCTGCCTCTTGTTCTCTGAGTGCCCCTGTGCACCCCCAAGCCAGAAGGCAGGCACAGAGCAAACTAAATCTGGCAGGGTATGAGSTGGGGCACAGTGCTGTTAATGTGCTTGTGCTGCATCACTTGATAACTGCTGCTTAAAGCAAGTGGGATGTTGAGTGTCTCCTTTTCTTAATGACATGCACATTCAAGTACTAGGAGTTTGTTATAATCAAACCTTGAAAAGTGGCAATTTGTCTTTTGAATATGAGTCAGATTCCTGCTCATAAAAAAAAAAAAAAAAAAAAAAAAAAAAAAAAAAAAAAAAAAAAAAAAAAAAAAAAAAAAAAAAAAAAAAAAAAACAAAAATCAACAAACCAACACATCATGAAACCCCAATAACAGATAATGCGCTGTTCTCACCATTGTAAATGGACAAAATTTAGCCAACTGTTTAATCAGATTCTGTCATTTTTATTCTTCACTATCGTTTGTACTTTAAGATGCCTCTGTCTTATTTTCTAAAACTTTAGAACTTAGATAAACATTTGTGCTCTTACGTGCAATTTAAAATGTAACTTAAATACCAAAGGATAATAATTTCAAGTTAAGAATTCCAGTTGACCTTTTATATTTGCTGAGGCAGAAGCTCTTGCTATCATATTTTAAATATTGTCATTATTTTTCTAGGCCATCTGTCATTTTAGGAGTGACAAATCCCTTTTTTGCTAAAACACTTCAGCACTGGCCTCACATTATCCGAATTGGAGATATCAAACTTCCAGGTAAAGTAAGAATATCTTCTACAATMCTGTGTGACAGGATATAATTATGTGCTTATTTATTTACGAGTGTATGTAATTATGTTCYATTAATTTAGCTTACTAGTAACTAAATTGTGATGGATGTAAATCTGTCAAATGAAATTAGACTCTTGACTGCTCCGTGTCTTGTCTTTCCAAATCAAGTACATTAAATGCAAAAGGTAGTAATGCTAATTAGTAATAATGTTCTACATTTCACAGTGTCCTGATTTTGTATCTCTGCCAATAAGGTATTAAAATGAGACATAATATATTACTGATGTTTATTTCAGTCTGAGTAGAATGTAATAAATCAGTCACAGCCAGTGCAGAACACAAGACCTGTSTGAAAGCTAAGTTTGAATTTTATATATAAAAGGTTGTTGGCAATATTTTGATGATATATTTCTGGCAATATTCCAGTAATTATTAATTGTTCAGTCTGGATGATTCCCTTACACGATTGAGTAGAATTTTCATGTAATCTTTGGATAACATGTTAATTGCCAGCCTGTAGTAAAATGCTGCACCATTCTAATTATTGTATCAAATTCCTGAATGTAGCTGTTTGCTGTGGCAGGTTCATGAYGCTTGCTGTTGTGACAGTGGGAATTCATAAATATTCAATTAAGATAAAACAACATAAAATTAATTTTTGTAGAAGTTAATTAATTCAGAGTATTCAGAAGTTAAATTTAAGGATGATGTACTGTGTTCAATTTAATTTGTCAAGATTTTGGTTTRCTTTTAAGTACCATGTCTGTCTATGGTCAGAATGCCTGTGGGGGCTTAGGGTAGTGTGGGGAATAATTATTTGACTCCTGTGTAGTTAAGGTTTGGAAATAGAGTATTAATTAAACTCTGAAAAGCCATATAAACAGGTGGCCTTCTAATCTGATATATAGTTTCAAGTGTGAAATCCTGGTTCTGATGTAGCTATGGGAAATGCTTAGTCAGGAAGTTCTATAGATATATCTGTCTGATCTGTTTTTAAAGTTATACTTTATTTCTTTAGAGACGAAGAGAGGTCTTCTGATTATTTTTTTGTTGTTTTGTGGGTTGGAGATTTTTTTTTTTCATTTTCCACCCACTCTGCAGTTTCAATTGCAATTTAACTGTTATTGTTTCTGAAGTTGAGCATCCAAATAGATTTAGGAGGAAGGTTCTGCTGAGGCTGCAAGACYGTTAACAGGGCTTAGGGTCTTCTAATTTATCCTGCTCCAACCAGAAAAACAAAATTAAAGCCCTTAGTAATGGCCTATGACAAAGGAGACTTAAATTCATTTTCTTACAACATTTAATCCATGGCAACTATTTTATTTTCTTCTACACAATTTTAGTTTTGCCAAGTTACCAAAGCTTATTTTCCAAAAGCATTTACACTAAGGGAAACAAAGGAAGATAGAATAAAAATAAGAAATAAAGAAAACAATTATTCACTTCTGTATATCTGTATGTTTTATTCATTTGCCTGCTTGGATTCAGAGGGTCATCATTTGGCTGATTTTGTTTGTTTGTGGGTTTTTCTGGTTCATTTTTTGCTTGTTTATGTTTTTGTTGGTTTTTAGGTATTTGTATCTTTTCACTTCATACAAGGGTTCTCTGTTGAAAAAAAGTTTATTTGCTTTTATTCATGTGTTTGCTGGATGTTTCTGGATATATGTTTGGATTCATGTCAATGTTTCTAATGTTTCTTAGAATATTAGATAGTCTTCAAGTAAAGTGCTTTCATGTGTGCTTTTGGCAGGTGAAGTTCCAAAGCAGGTGAAAGTGAAAAAACTGAAGAACCTAAAAACTTTGGACTCCAAACCTGGTAACTTCAGAGTTAAATTGCCAGCATTTTGATTTTAAAAGGCATACACTGTTGCTCCTTTGGCTATATGCTGCTTTTTTTCTTTAGGTGTTTATACCTCTTACAAGCCATACTTGAACAAAGATGAAGAAATTGTTAAACAGTTGCAAAAGGTAATGGTGTAGGTGACTTCCTAAGGGTAACAGGTTTGTGTATTTTGTGTACTGTTGTAGCATGTTTTCATTTAAGGCTGCACTTGGTGTAATCGAAATGAAACTGGGTTCTCTTTCCTTTGCCCCAGCTCATAACTAAATATAACAAATATGATGATAAAAAAATCAGTAATTGCAAGGGCACATATCTGTACAAAAGGACTGGATGCTATGACTTTCCTTTCGTGGTTCACGGTAGGAGGTGCTGTGTGTGGGCTTATGGCAAATGAATACAGAAACACTGCAATAAATATTCATGAAAAGTAAACCCACCACAACTACCTACATAACTTTGGAGTAACAGACTGACTGTGTTTTGTTTTGTTTTTTTTTTAAGGGAGTACAACAGAAACGTCCTACAGAAGCACAAAGTGTGATACTTCGGCGATATTTCTTGGAATTGACAGAAAGCTTCATTATTCCATTAGTGAGTTCTTAAACTRATGGCGTTTTTACATAAGAAATAAGGAGTAGTTTTCCTGGAGTTACCCTGACAAAGTCCAGTAGCTATCCAGTGTAGCSCTGGAATCAACCCTGGGTCCAGTACTGGCTCCAACTGGTGATGCACAGCTGCCTCCTGCTGTTGCACCTGACTCTTGGCAGTGGCCCCACCCAAGTTTAGGCTCTGGCCATGCTAGTGCTGTGGCCACAGCTCACGGTGTTCTGKGGGTTACTTCTAACTCTGATGCTTGGGTGAACGACTCAAAAAATCTCTTCMAAACACTTGATACAAAGAGTGGTTACTGTTTGGAATCACTCGCGAATATGAAGRTACCTGTGGACTGTTTCCAAACAAAAGAGATTGTTTACCAGAGGCTGAAGTTCAGGATATAGATATTCCATGTGTACGTTTGCTTCCTGTCCTTCTTTGCCTCATGTCCTTCTTGAACTTTGCTGGCTTAAAGTTCTGGAGTTGAGAAATATAATCTGTGTAAGATAAGCTCCTTCTTGTCTTCTCATGTGGTAAATAGGTACAACCCCACCCTGTGCTAACACTGAGAAGAGAAAAGCTGTGGTCACAAGCAATAAGTAAACACACACGTGGACTGTAATACGTGGACAGTATGTTTAATACTGGTTATGCAAACAGCCTTTCCTTTTCCTTTCCCTAGGAACGTTATGTGGCAAGCCTAATGCCTTTGCAGAAATGCATATCACCCTGGAAGGTAAGGAAGCATAATTTCAATGAGCTGGAAATTGGTGATTAGAGAAGTTAAGGTCTACTAAKTTTTTTTTCTGTCCAGAGTCCACCACAGTTGAGGCAGTTTAGCCAAGATGACTTCATGAAGACACTGGAAAAGGCAGGACCACAGCTCACCTCAGGATTAAAGGGAGATTGGATAGGACTTTATAGGTAATTTCTTTCAACACCATAAAAAATTATTTAAATTAAAAATGATGAGTAGTATTAATCCAGTTTYTTTCTGAGCAAACTTACAATTTGGATTAATTTGAATAAGACTTTTTTTTAGAATATATGCTTTAATAGAAATTGATAATGCTAAGTATACTTTACTTGCTTAAAACTGGTTTTCTGTTAACATTACAGGTTTCTGTAGATCAGTGTTATTTATGGTTTTATTTCTGGCTCTAGCTTGATTCCTCCTTCCAGTCAAACACAAACATAAAAATCAGGCTATTTCAAACTGAGTCTTGATTTTTTTTCCTTACATTTTTGTAATCCTTATTGTGTTTCAGACGTAATTCTTTRCGTTCTTTTCCCAATCCTTGTCTTAACAGAAACATCTGTTAATCTCTACTTCAGAATATTGTATCTTTTTGAAAGTAAATGGAGAARGGGTTCTAATATCTCAATTATAATTACATTTGATGATGTAGAAAACACTGTTACCAAATTATACTTAAAATATATATTTTTCTTTGGTGTTTTACCAGGCATTTTTTGAAATCGCCAAACTTTGACGGTTGGTTTAGGAGCCGGCAGAAAGAAATGACACAGAAGCTAGAGGCCCTTCATTTAGAAGCACTCTGTAATGAGGTCAGAAAAATGTGTGCTTATGATTATATTTATCATCTTGTAATAAAAATACAACCTCCCACAAGTCAGTTTTATTCCTGTTTTCATAGGCTGAACGTAAAATTGTTGACAGTTTTGTGAATTCTGATCTAATAAAACATGATTTTGTTGAACAAGTACAAGGTGGAGCTAACACAGTGAGAACAATATGATATACAGTTAACTTGTCATAACAACTTTCATCATTTGTAAAACATGCCTTTAGGACTCTTTGTTTTGCTGTGTATTTTAAAGTTAAAAACACACACCTACCCCCAAAAAAACCCTTTTTCCTCTTATTTGATAATATTATTCTATTCAGCTTCCATTCTTGGCATCCTTGACAACAGTGTATTTTCAGTTGTGATATAGTTTGTAGCTTTGAAGATATAAATTCAGCAAATTTGACATTTGAATTGACAGCTATTTAGATAACRTTAGTAAATAAGCCTACTACTGATCCACAGTAACTGAAAGCTGAGAAGTGAAATCTGTTTATATATAACAAAATGCCACATAAATATTTTTAGGTTKTAAGATCCATTCCTTAATTAAGAAGCCAAAGTGGGTGTCAATATAATTTGAGCTGGAACAACTGATAAGAGAATGGAATTGCAAGAGGAGAAGACATTGTACAGCTAGAGGGGGAATAGGAAGAACAAAAACAAAGTCAGGCAATGCCACAGCTTTAAAACAAACAAACAAAATTGCTCTSGTTATTTTTCAGAAGCCATTTGTTTTTATCCCTCGCCTAGTCAATTCCCAAACACCACAATGTAGCAAATCCAAACAGATTATTCAAATAAAACAGCTGMAATAATTTGCAGGTCAGTTATACAACTTAGACTCTATCCAATGGCATTTGACATTAACTTAATCAAAGAAAAGGAAATGTGTTACAAATTTGTTATGGATTCTGCTCCTTTATTGTTACTTCTTTTGATCCACAAAGAAATGTTTCTTTGTACATGAACAAATGTCTCTGTGAGGTGAGTTGTAAGGGGGTAGGGGAACAGAACTTCCATAAGAAAATTCTCGATTCAATCTTACTAGCTAAAATCTGTGATCTTCTTTAATGCCCTAGAAACAGTAAGCACTGCCTTGAACTACTTTAATATTGCATTGTGCTGGCAGTTCCAATTTGGTAATCATTCACTGCTAATTTGCATTTTAGATACTCTTTTTCAAACTAAGCCTGTTTGGCAAGATTTTTTTCCCCATTAATTTATTTGTATTGTGTTCATGTGCAGGTTTGTTGTTACGCAAAGTACTGGGCAAACATGCAAATAAAGCAGATTTTTCAGTTCACAGTAAAAACAGTGCATGAATAAAACGATGTTAGCAAATGGCATAATAAGGAAAATAGCTTTTCTGAACATCAGGTGTAGGTTAAGATTGCTTTTGAAAATTACATATCTAATCATAAATATTCCAATGCTTTAATTTTTTTTTYATTTTAGAACTTGGTTTTCTGGAGTCAGAAGCACACTGAGGTAGAAACAGTGGATCTTGTCTTAAAGCTAAAAAATAAACTGGTAAGTAACTGAATTGAACATGATGTAGCTACATAAAAGCATGTACAGTTGTTTTTGCAAGCGAAAAAAATGAAAATACTCTTCATGATCTAGGTAGTTTAAAGAGTCAATCTTTCATTCAGGCTTTTAAAACAAAACCAGTTAATTTCAGCCATGCCTGAAAAGTTATTTGGCTTCCCAGCATCATCCGGCTATTATGGAAACATTGTATTGCTGGGKTTTTTTTAAACTATTTGGATGGAATCCCCAGGGAGAAAGAAAACCAAATTTTATTATTGAAAGTCCAAATCAGTGTTGCTCTCACTGTTGTATGGTTGCTGAGGAAGCCTGCTGTTGTCCGAATTGCTACTCAGCCAGCAAATGAGGAATTAATTTTCCAATTTTTCTAATGCATGACTGAGATTTCTTAAGGTAAACTTGCATTTTTAGTAGAAATCATGTTTTCTGGTACCTTTGCAGTTGCAGGCTGACAGAGAACRCCTTCCTGTGAAAACTGACACACTGAAAAAGCTGCAGACACACATCAATGAYATTATACTGGCACTGCCAGATGACTTACAGGACATCTTGCTCAAAACTGGCACAACATGATTTCTACTGGGTTTTTTTTGGTGCAGAAAACCAAAAGGCAAGTAGTCTCCCAGAAGACAGTGGCTTACCAAGTTTGGAACGCAGCTCTAAACAGCACGTTAATAACACTACRAATGGACTGTACTAATAGTATAGCCCACTATACATTTTCACTATTTTTTCCATTTTAATACCAATGCAACTAAAGGGATTCTTGTGTCTAATAGTGTTTGAAATAAGTGCTCTTAAAGAATAATCTGTGGACATATGAAGCTATGCCACAGTATAGGACTACAGTGCAGTGCTGGCATTGCAGAATGTTTTCCAATTGGTGCTGCTATACCCAATCCTACTCAGGGGTAAGCAATATTGATCCTGTACTGACCTGTTGATGTAGTATCTGTTTGTTTTTTCTTTCTTTTTTTCTTTTAGTTTTTAGCTAGTGAGAARTCCAACTGACATATTGGGTGACTTGGCCAGAATACCTGGTAGTTGAGAAATTTTASTGGTAAATCATGGCTTTCAAAACTATTTCAGGAACAACTGAAATGATCAGATCAGTTYCTAACTTTCTGCATTTCTCCTTTTTACCATCTTCCCAAAATGACACTAATTTAGCATCTTTAAAGAAGAGAAGGCAGCTGACAAAAATTTCCTGAAGGGAAGTCTCATTCACTCAATGTCAGTTAATTAGGATGCTCTTACATGCCTTAAATAAAATAATTACATACTAATTTGTGGTTTTAAACTGCTGACATCCAGGATTTCAAGTGGATCACTAGTGTAAATGTAAGCATGCAGTGTTCATCACAGGAAATAAACACTGTGGTGTTCTMATAGGGGTTTTAAAATCAGTGATTTTAGTAGGGTTGGCTGATACACAATCTGTTTCAATTGGAGATCATACCAGTCAGCTCCTGTTATAATTTTCGACTTAATTATTTTTGGCTTACACCAGTCAGGTGTTTGAGGAGGTAATGAGGCTGGAGGAAGAAGATGGTGGCTTCAGCTGAAAAAAGCCTCTGGACAGATCAGACTGGCAAAAAAGATTGTAGCATGAAATTATTCTTAATATGGACATACAGCAGACATGCATAAAGAGCAATTTCCTCTTGCATATTAAGCAACAAGAATGGGATGTTTTATCTTCTTGAACAAGTTTCAGTGGTATATAAGAACTCAGCTGCTCCACATGCARTGCTGTACTTTGACCAGTTTCAAGTAGAGTAAACATAATGCTATAGTGTACACATAGCATATACTTTTATGTCAAGTGGATCACAGTTATTAAAACAAAACATTCTGCTTTTAAGTGCTTGWATAAAATTTTTTAAAATTTATGACATAATCCTGCTATAAGAATATGCTTTTGTATAACARATATTTCATACCATCTTTCTAAAAATGTCTTATTTAGATATAAAGTGTCACAATGTTATTTTTATGAAAATAATGTATTTTAATACTGTTATGTTTTGTATACAATTACTCATGACCAAAAGTTTAATGTATCTATTATGTTACTTAAACTATACCACTTCAGCGTTAATTGCTAACTTGCAATTTTTTTTTTTGCACRCCCTGATGAAAAGCATTTCTAATCCAGAAATTATTAAGTGGCCTAAATTTCATACCCTAAATTATCTTAAATATTTAACCTGGAGCACTGTATAATTTCTTGGAACCATATCAACTGGTAACAACTATAACTAGCACATGACTGCAAATAAGTATTTTTTTAAACAAAAATAAAGAGTTTGATTTTTTTCTCTCTTTGTAAGTTATGTGACTTAGATGATGGATGTGTTTGGTTTGTTAGGTTTTTTCCCCTCTCCTGTGTAAGCAAAGCTGTTCAGCTTGCAGAGACTGCCGCTTGATGAAACTGTACCCTTAAGCTGACCAGAAATGTGATGGAGTGGTTTTATAGCTTGATTATTCATCATGGTTGGAATAYGACAGAGCTGCAGCATCCTCAGCAATGCAAAGGGCGGGGCCGGGATTCTAAAGCCCATGTTCACTTCTAAAGCAATTGTTTGCTAGATTGTGCTCAAAGAATGGAARTAATGAAAGGTATCCATTAATGACACAGATACAGTAAGAACAGGCCAGCTTGGAGATAGTAACTATTCTCAAGTTCAGGGTAGCTTCATTTTCCTGGCAGAAAAAGAGAAATGCAAATACTCATTACTCTGAATAGAAGATAGGTAAGTATTGGAAACCTAGAACTGGACTCCTTAGATTACAGCTTCCTGATAGTTTTCATAGTTAATCAGAATCATATTGACATAATTATCTAGTTTGTGCTTAAGTTAAGGTGTGATCTATTTATTTTACAAAAACACAACTTTCCATCTTAATTTACACCAGATTATTTGTTCAGAAGATCATTTAAAACTAGAATAAGATTTTCAACATGACACCCAAGAGCAGCTGTCAGTGCCCCATCCTTGGAAGTGTCTAAGGTGGGGTTGGACAGGGCATTTTGTATGTACTCTAGTGAAAGGTGTCACCATCCATGGCAGGGGTGGAATGAGATGATCCAATGCTTCGAACCCAAACCCTGCTGTGGTTCTATGAAAAAAACAGCCTAAGTTGTCTCACTCAGTGGCCAACTGTTAGGATGTTTCAGGACTGTCTTACAAAGATCATTAACAAAGGTTTTCTTCAGTTGAGGATAAGTCAGTACCTTCGGCTCMTAGAATGATGATCCTGGCTTGGTTCAGGTTTATTCTCCTATTACTGCCCTGTGTTGGGTGCTCCCTCGCCCATAAGCCRTGGGCAGGGTGGGTGTGAGAACCTGGCCCTGCTGTGACTGGTCTGCCTAATAATAATTACTGTAGTGGATATGTATATAAGTAATAACAGTATTGTAATGAGAATATGTCACAGCGCTACCTTTTGTTGGTTTGTTTTGGTTTTTAGGATTCCGGGGGGTTTTGCTTTTGTTTTAATGACGTGTCTTTGTCGCTACGGGGGTGCAGCTGGAGGCTTTCTGAGGACTGGTTTTACCAATGTGTGGCTGCAGGCCGGGAGCAGAGGCTGTTCCCGTCCCGCTGCCCGGAGRCTGCGAGAGCCCGCAGCGTTACCGGAGCTGCCCCTTGTCCCCGCGGCCAGGGCGGGGCCCGCGCGCGCCCGGCATACCCCGCGCGACCCGGAAGCTGCGCGGGGCTGGCTGGTGCGCCCGCCTACATCCCCCGTCGTGCCCCGCGGCGGCGGCAAATGCGCGCGGGTCGCGGAGCGGCGCGGCGCCTGCCGGAAGCTGTAGTCCCCTCMCCGCCGGGGCCGTGTGGCTGAGGGCGGTGCCGCGGCCGGGGGATGTGGCGAGCGTGACGTGATCGTGTCCGCGTTGGAGCCGGGGCGGCCACGGCGAGCGTGACGTGGCAGAGACCGAGCGAGGTCCTCGGTCACAGAGCACCCGCCGCCGCCGCCGGGCTCCCCTCGCGCGCGGAGGGATCCGTGCGCACACACCGGCCGGGCCGCGCTCCCTCCCGCCCTCTTTCCCACAGCGCTCCCCCGCCGCCGCCCAGCGCCGCCGGAGCCGCCATGGGCCTCACCATCTCTTCGCTCTTCTCGCGCCTCTTTGGCAAGAAGCAGATGCGCATCCTCATGGGTGAGGGGCACCGCGGAGCCTGGCCCGACCGGGGCCGCACAGCCGAGTCTCGCCGGGCGGGGGAGGGGAGGCCGCGGGACGGGCCGCCGGTCACGGCGGAGGGAATCGCCCCGTCCCGGGGTGCAGGGCGCGGACACCGCGCTGTGCCCGTCCCGTGGGCTGGGGGGGGCATTGGGAGAGCAGCGGGGAGGCCACGGGGTGCGGATCGCGCTGTATTTGCCCTTCCTTTTCTCCCGCCGTGTTCCCGTTCCCCTCCCTGCCTCGCCCGCCGGTCCCGGCGAGGCCGAGCCTSGCTCCCGCACCTGCGCCGGGCCGCGCGCGAACAAAGATGGAATTGCGGCCGGGTAGCGCTGCGTGTCCCCGGGCGAGGGGCCGAGCGAGCCCCGCGCCCCGGCCGTGCCCTCCTGGCCCCGGCACTGCGGCTCCGCCAGCAGGATGTGACAAAGCCTGGTGTGTGCAACCAGGGGCAGAAGAACTGCCGTATAATGGCCGATTTTCGACAGCTGTAGGGAGCTCTAGTGTCTGTATCCTGACTCTTGTGAAAGGGCGTTTCGGTACAGCATCTGCGGGCATTAATTCTGTGCCTCGTGTACAAACCCGTAAAACCTTCTAGGTTGCTCTTGCAGTGCTTGCTTAGTTTTACTGTCAACCCATAATTATTTATTTTGAGTATCCATTTATTTTGGAGTTATCTGTTCTTTTGACACGGACTGTGTAGGAGTTGGAACCAGTGGCTCTTGAAGATTCTCACTTTCAGATTATAGTTCAAAAGGTCAAAGCCAGCACATACTGCATTGGTATTTCCTCCTCCGCTTTGAGTTCTTCCCTGCCTTCTTCCACCCACCCACCCACCCACCCCTGCAAGCTTTATGTACAAACAGTTCTTAGCCCCTAAATTTTTCTCAAATTCTGTTACCAAAGAGAATGGAATTTGGTTCATGGCCATTAACTAAAGTAGCTTGTCCTAAGGAACTGTATAAAGTGCTCATTTCAATATAACCAGCAATGGGAGTGGGTTCTAACTGTGAAACTTCCTGTCACACACCCATCCCTAATGCTGCCTGGATATGCACAGCAGACACAGGAGTGCAGCTTGTTAAAAATACAATATTTCAGGTTCTCCAAATATTTTGTGACRAAGTTCATTATTCCATACCCAGTAATTTTTGTTGTATGTGTTTGAAATTAAAGACTCTCATCCATTTCAAAATAATCCAAGTAAATTTTAGTCTTTGAGACAACTTAGTATGTTGCTTTCAGGGAGGTGATTGCATTGTCTCTGTAACAGCCGGACTCTTCATAAGGCTCTTAATGAATGAAGTCAAGTCTTTGAGTGAGCTTGACTGTAGGATGCAGGATGAGGCAATGTCTGTGGTATTTGTAGTTTTGTTACTTTCTGCAAAGTACTGAAAACAGGAAAGTGATGTTATACAGTCAAAACCACTTGTAAGGCCCTTCATTGGTAGGAAATCAGATCGAATTTAGGTTAGAGATGGCTTTGGAAAGTGCATTTTCTAGTAGTTAGTTCAAATGAATTTATTTTTTTATTTGTTAAAAATGTTAATTTTACTTATATTAAAAGGCAGGGCTAGATCAGGGCATAGGACAGCACATTTGTTAGGTAGAATAGGAGAGTGAAATTTGGGGTATGTTGTGGTGAGATTGTGTCATAGGACATAAACTGGATGTTTAGAAGCAGGATCTTAAACTGGATATGACATAACCTGTGTATACCTGTAACATGAAAAAGAATCTCTTCATAGCATTCTACATCATATATCAGCACTTTGAGGAGGGATACATGAATGAATACTGGGACAGAATTAAAACTTTTCCTCAAKGTTGTAATCTTCAGTGTATGGTTTGAAAATGGGCTGTATAAGGCCAGGCATTTGAGTTTCCATATGTARTACACCAATTAAGAAATAACTTCATGCGTTAAAGTACTTAAGGGAAAAATATTATGTGAGTTGATAATGAACAGATCATTAATTTATAATTCTAACTTCCTTTTCACAGCTTTCTTCTGTTTCTGCAGAATTGAAGATAAATTAGAATTAATTTAGCTCCTAAAACAGACTTTGTGTTACTTGAGTTCTGCAGCATTTTAATATTTCTCATCAGAGACATTACCAACAGCACTCACTTATCTTTTATGTTCTCAAACTACATTTTCATGTTACACTTATGATAAGAGATGGACATTTAATGTTATTCTGTTACTGAAACTTTGTTTTTAAAAAATGCATTTGTATAATTAAGTATTTTTCAAAAATATTAAGTTACTGTGTGGAAGAAATGCATGAAAAAAAGATTCACATGTTTTCTTTGTCAATAAGAATAACATGAGGGAAAAGAAAGAACTGTGGGATACATTTGAATGTCTAAMAGTCAGATAAGGTAACTGGGGCATTAAGAGTAGAAACACTGAGTTCTAACCCTACATGTACCTGTCTGTGAAACTCTTCACTCATGGTTTCTCGTCCTTTCTCGGAAAAAAAGATATTGATTCAGTGGGCACCTTTGAGTATCATAAWTTAGGTTCTATGACTTGTGCCAAATATTAACTAACATAGTAACTACTCAGGAGCATCAGATACAAAAGTAATTATTAAATACATTGGGTGGAAATGTCAGATTCTTTGGGAATTGTGTCACTGTACAGATCACAACAATTTAGCTGTTTTTTATTTGGGGAAGGGTGTTGTTTTATACAACTGTTGGTTTGCCTGATGTTTGCTTTCTATAGTATATATTCTTTTCTCTTTTTATGAAGTTCTGTGCTGTGGTAACAGGCAGCCTGATAGTCAGTCATCAGTGATCAAAGTAGGAAGTTGGTTAATGAAGAATATGATGTGGTCAGGGGTGATGTTCCCAGGTACAAGTGAATTAGGAGTTTGAGATTTAGCTGAAACACAACTGAAAGGGTGTGAATAAAATGCTCTTTAAGAGAAGTAAAGGGCTTAGAACCACAGTGATTTTGGCAGTACCTGAAAGCATTGTAGATTTTTTTTTTCAGCTAGAGGAAGAGGATGTTTGACTCAGTTTAAAGATAAATGGCTGCAAGTAAAGGTCTSTGCTTCCCATTTGTACTTTATTGTAATCTTGGTGCTTTGCAGTACAACTTCTGAATTTTATACCMTTCAAGT